TTTATGTAAACAATAACTATAATTAATTTTATGGTTTTATTTAAAGCCTTTACTTAAAATAAAAAACTTTAGAAAAGAACAATGATTAAAAGATATTTATAACCTAACACTTTTTTTTATTGCATTCAATTGTTAAAACAACAATATGTTAAATCATTGTGGCCGAGGTCAAGTTGTAAAGAAATAAAAATATTAGCGTGGTCAGTTACAGAGTGTGATCGCACGCCATTCCTGTCCAAGCCTGGATATTGGTTTACTAACTCTAAATAATTTCTCTTAAGTAGCCAATCTTAAAAACTCGTTATACTTTTTTCTGCTTTAAATACTAATTAAAATTAAAAAGCCCACTCACTAAACATCATCAGCAATATTGTGAAGCAGTTTCGCTTTCTTGTCATAAAGTATTTTTAACCTTTTTAGTTGATTTCTATCTTGTTAATTTAACTTCTATAGTAATTCAATGATTTAATTATTTCATTTGTTTATTTTACTAAGAAGAATTGCTTCAAATATGTTAAACTTTTCAAACTACGCGAAACATAAAATAGGTATTGAAAAAATTAACTTTTTTATTTATAAAATAATTTAGCTTAGATAAAACTAAAACTTGCAAACTTGCAAACTTAAATAAAGAACATTGGTTTCTTTTTTAAACAATCGTAAGATGTTACTTTATATAAAAAATGTTGCTTAATTTTATAAAAAAATTATAAAAGAGCGATGTTTTGAAAATATTTGTTCAAACGTAATTTATTTTGCTTTAAGTTCTTTCGCGTTAAAAGATATTTTATTTTCCTAATTTTTTTTTTTTTCTAATTGTCTCTCATCAGTCCAATTAATCTTGCACATTTTTTCTTTTTTGTTTTTTGAAATGTTCTAAAAATGACTAAAAAATCTGGCCAGCATTTTGCAACTAAATATTATTTCCGTGGTCAGCAATCGAGAGCGATCACTCCTGCTTCGTGACCAAGCCTGTAATATGTCTATATATATATATATATATATATATATATATATATATATATATATATATATATATATATATATATATATATATATATATATATATATATATATATATATATATATATATATATGCATATATATTATTATTTTATAAACATCAATAAATACGATTTTCTCTCAATACTAAATTTATTTTTTATTTTTTAAAAGAAATTTTCGCTGGATTGTTGTGAACAGCGCCTTAAGCTTAAAAGATTTTGTTTGTTTTTGTTTATATGTTATTTTTAAACGGCAATTTTATTATATGTCAATGGAATGGTTTCGTCTTTTTCTGACGTAAGTGCATTAGAAATGGTGTCCAGAATTTTGTTGACACATATTGTCCCTTATCTAAATTGATACCACTTTGTTGAGGGGCACATTGGTGGTACTGTATTTCAAGTGCCTCATGAACTTTCCTATCAAACTTTTTGTTATTGACTTTTAGAGTTCTGCAACTGTCCTAGTTAATTTGTTGTGCACAATGTTTCATGTGTGTGGCTAATGCTGATCTTTCTGTTTTATTTCCTATTGTACTGTTTGTATTGTACGCATGCAACAACACAAAAACATCTCATACATGATGTCTACATTCAAAAATCCATTCCATTGACATATAATAAAATTGCCGTTTAAAAATAACATATAAAGAAAAACAAACAAAATCTTTTAAGCTGAAGACGCTGGTCACAACAATCCAGCGAAAATTTCTTTTAAAAAATAAAAAATAAATTTAGTATTGAGAGAAAATCGTATTTATTGATGTTTATAAAATAATAATTTACATACTCTCATACATGATGTCTACATTCAAAAATGCATATATATATATATATATATATATATATATATATATATATATAATATATATATATATATATATATATGCATTTTTGAATGCATTTTTGAAGACCTGCTCTTGCAGCCAACCTTCAACCTCTGTCACATCGTCGTAATGTTGCTTCTCTTTCTCTTTTCTACAAATACTATAATGGGCACTGCTCTAAAGAGCTAGCGTCTCTTGTGCCATCTACTAAAATTCATTCTCGTGTTACTCGTCATTCAATTAAGTCTCATCCTTTTTCTGTCACTGTTCCTAAGTGCTTTAAAAACTCTTATTCGCCTAGTTTTTTTCCTCGAACATCAGTTCTTAGGAATTCGCTTCCTTCATCTTGCTTTCCTGATTCATATAATTTGCAATCTTTTAAGTCGCCTGTCAATCGTTATCTTGTTCTAAAATCTTCATCTTTTCTCTTCCAGTAACTTCCAACACTAATTAGTGGTTGCTTGCAGCCTTGTTGGAAGCGAAGATAAATAAATTTAAAAAAAAAAAAAAAAAATATATATATATATATATATATATATATATATATATATATATATATATATATATAAAATCAGGGGCTATTCTAGACCGTTTTTGACAGCGCCAACCATATTTGGGCGCCGCCCAAATTAAAATTTGAGGACCTTTTTCTTTTATATGTTTTTTATGACAAATATTTTAATTATTACAAAAAAAAGCCGATTTTCCATTTTCTTTCTTCAGGACACAGGGGGTACAGCTGTCCAAATTTTTTTTCCTAGAATAGCTCCTGATCATATATATTTTATATATATAATATATATATAAATATATATATAATATATATAATATATATATATATATACATTTACATATATATCATATATATTATACACATAATATATATGATATATATGTATGTATGTATGGGTATATATATATATATATATATATATATATATATATATATATATATATATATATATATATATATATATATATATATATATATATATATATATATATATATATATCAGACATCTTTTTCACTGCCTTTGATTGTTTAAACATCAAGTAAAGCCTTGCATGACAAAAGAAACACTTTTTTTAAAGCATTTCAGATAACTGGTTCTTTCAGCAACAACTAATTGGTAAAAAATCATAGTGCAATGTCAAAAATAATATTAAATATTAGTTTTGATGCAAAGTAACTTAAGTTAAAAATTTTAGTTTTATTAAAGAAAAATAATAACCAAATATCAGTTGTTTCTAAACTTTTGCAGAAAAGAATTTTTAAAAAAATGAAACTTTAGTTTATCCTTAAATTTTACAATTTTTGTAATTTGTATTTGAGTTGAAATACTACGAAGCGCATATCTTATTTCAATTCAAAATACAAACCACAAAATGTCAACAAAAAATGAAACTCTACACACTCAAATAATAAAATAACCTTATCATAATATAAAGCAACCATGCTAACTATATCACTACTGTGGAACATAAACTAAATCACAATTATGGGTCTCAAAATTATCACTTTGAAAACTTTGAAAAATTTTCAAAAAAGCAGGTTACAATACTGTTTTTAAATGATGCGCAAACCCTAAACCTTTGCTAACTTCATCAAATAAAACAAAACTAATGTCAAATAGCTATCTTAGTGTATATCTAAGAGAAATTCCATGTAAAAACATCCAATATTTTTGAAAAATGCACATCAAAGTCTCAGATTCTGCTGGTTTTTACACCACTCAAAATTTTAATAAACTAAGAACATCTTCAAAATTTTATCATCCGATTCCAAATGGTTTCAAAGTTATAACTATGTAAACTTTGCTATCAACTAACAAAAATCAGCCTTTTTAAAAAAAAAGTTTTGGTCTTTGTTTCTGTTCTGTGAACATATGGAATGTTGAAAATATGTGCACATATATCTTGAGGCAAGAAATCCAATAAAACAATTAAAAATATTTCAAAATAAATATAACAACTGTAATTTTGACCTTTATTGTAATTTTACTGAGGCAAGTTTAATTACAAAAATGCTAATGTAGGTTTTTTTTTTTTTTAGTTGTCTTGAATAGTTTAGTTAGAGTTGTTACAGAGTGGTCTTTTCTTAAACAGAAAAAAAACATGTTTAAACTTACTTGAATTTGTTACCAATAAAACAGGAATTATGAAAAACCAATAGAAAATAAAAGCTGGTATAATAAATTAGGTGGTTCAGCTCATCCTAATGTACATTTGACTATCTTTTTTGATTGTCAAATGTACATTAGGGTGTAAATTTGAAATTTTTCCCATTCAAAACAGAAATTTTCTGAAAATTATTAAACACCAACTTCTATTCTCTTTTTATTCTTGTTTAATTTAAGATTTTTTTTGATAATTTTTTTTTCAAATTTATCAAATGTTATGGGTCTATGTATGTATGTATGGGTGTATGTATGTATGTATGTATGTATGTATGTATGTATGTATGTATGTATGTATGTATGTATGTATATAAGCACTTAACTTTACACAAAAAAAGAAAACAAAACAAAGTACAAAAGTAAATAAAAAAGTTATGTTTACCATTTTTTTATTTACTTTTTTACTAAGTAATGTTTCTTAAATAGTAAGAAATATCTTTTTCTACAACCATAGTAAATTAAATTCAAAACATACAAAGTTAACTGTATTATAAAATACACTTAACTTTTTTTATACTTTTTGCAGTTATACTTTTTTTATTTAAATACTATTAAAATAAAAAAGTTATGGTTGTAGTAAGGAATGCTTTTTACATATTAAGAAACATTCCTTATATTATGTAAGAAATGTTTAAGATTGCATTAAATAAAAAAAATTTATTTATAGAAAGAATTGTCTTTATTATCTAATACATAGAAAGAAACATTTTTATTAAGAATTTATAGTAAGAAATGTTTTTAACAATGTAATATATAGTAAGAAACATTTCGTGAAACATCTTGCAACAATAAAAACCATTATTTATATTTTAATACACTTAACTTTGTATGCTTTGAAATTAGTTTTATTTAAAATTATTAGCTATAGTATATATAGAAAAAGTTAAAATAGTATTAAAAAGTTTAGTTTAAAAAAATGTATAATGAAATTATATATTCACATTAGATATTAATAAGCAATAATAAAACTTAAAATCTCGTAAAACACTTACTTCATGTAGTTCTTGTTTGGCTATCTCTGTAACACAGTTGAAAACCAGTTCTGTATTTAAAGTTACTACAAATAAATAGTAAAAAACCTTCGATAAAATATATAAAGATAATAAATATGTGATTCTTTTTTATTAAAAAGATAATCTTTTTTTAGTAACACTTAATCTCTTAATGATTAAAAAATGTAATCGCTTAATAGAGATGCGTAGCTTCTAACGCAAGTAAGCGTTACGCGCACTGTTTGAAGCTTTTTTTGTTAAGGCTGTCGAAGCTATTTCTTTTTTATTTTAAATAAAAAATAAAAGAAAAAGCTCGCTAAATGGAACAGCCTTAAATTGCAGAGTATAAATTGTTTTTGTAGCAACCCAATAATTTATAGTTAACAGAAAAATACAACTTGATCGTTAAAAAAATAATAATAATAAAGAAGATAAAAAAAAAGTTGTTTCGGAACCAGGCTCTTTCAGAGTCAAAACAAGACCCACGAATGGTAAAAAAAAAAAAGAAGGTTTCTAACAGAAAAACCTAGATTTGGACTATTTTATATTTTTATTTATATGCTCAAGGTATTTCCGACGTGGTGCAAAATCAAAATATTTTCATTCAAGAATGTTTCACAAAAAAATGCTGTTATAAAAGCTTCGGAACAAAAGTACTCGAAAGTTTACGCCTTTTCTGACTCGCGTAAGTTGAATAAGACTTTTCAAAAAAAAAAATTTATCTATAATACTTGATCAAGGTTTCTTTACATAACTTATTTTGTAATTAAAAAAAAAAAAACTATCCGTCGTTTAAAAGTAGTACATGTGCAAATAATACATCTATCTTTCCACACACGCAAAAAAACAAAAAAAAGAAAAGAGCGTATATATATATATATATATATATATATATATATATATATATATATATATATATATATATATATATATATATATATATATATATATATATATATATATATATATATATATATATATATATATATATATATATATATATATATATATATATATATATAACAACCCACTGGGCATCAATAGCATATTTTTCTATCAATTTCCACATCTGTAGCATATCATGATATACCAGGGCTGTAGATGGAAACTTTTCTTAAAGACTAATTTAGATGCACTTAGTTCACTGTATTTACTGTGTGCACTTAGTTATTCATTTTCTGTATTTACTGTGTTGGTTTATTAATTAATTACGATAAAGAAAAAAAGAAGCTATAATAAAAAGAAATATAATGTGTGTATTAATTATTGGACAGGGATTGAGGCATGTTTTTTTTTTTTTTTAGCTGTTTAATATCGAATCAGAATGCTTTATAAAAAATTGCAATGATTAAAATCTGTAAACAACCATAACTTTAAAACTTGTGTCCCCTAATCCAAAAGGGCAATAAAAGTTATAAGTATAATAAGTTTTATACCATTACTATTTCAACTAAGTTTATATTAACTGCATTTAATTTATATTAACTGCATTTAATCAGAGGCAGGTTTTAGAGAGAGGGGGTAGGGCATAGAGTTAGTAGCCCCCTTCCCCCTTGGGACTTTTTTTTAGAAATTTTTGAAGATCGACTATTATACAGAATTGGACTATTATACTGGCGAATGAAATTGACTATTTGTCAATTTCATTCGTCGTAAATATAGGTGACGTAATTATAGGTATTTGAACTTGATTATTACACTAAAGTACAAAAAATTAAAAAAAAATAGTTACTTATATATGAAAATATGCGGACCTTTTTTTTTTTAAAGACCTTTTAGCCCACTCCTCGGCGAGTGACAAAACCTGCCCCTGCATTTAATTTATATTAATTATATTTAACTTATGTTCATCAAAGTTTATCTGATGTTTTCTAAGTGTTCGAAAGTTATGTCTATGTAAAGTTTATTACCCTATCATTTTAGGGATTTTAGAAGCCTTACATTGTCACAACTTTTGAACCATTAAAACATAACATTACTCAGATATTTTTAAGTTATCAACTCAGTAACCTTTAAAGCATAATTAATTTTTATGTGTTTTTTAAAAGTAGTAATGTCTATGTTTTAACAAAAAACAGTCTTGCATGTGTTTTGTTGGTCTGGTTACCGCATGTGTTTTACTGGTCTGCATGTATTTTAATGGTCTTTTTTCAAACTATATGTAGAAGTTTTACCTGTTGCATTTATAAGACTGTACCATACAGCAACGTAAGGATGGGGGGAATGATTTTCAGGTTATTATTTTCAAGTTATTTTAAATTAAACTAAAATTTTTATGAAGATAATAATGATTTTAGTTTTTAAGTTTCCTGCAACTTAAAAAAACTTATGCTAACTTATGCTAACTTATGCTAAAGAAATGAATTCATTAAAGTTATTTTTATTAATATATTTCTGTTGGGAGGTATCGATATAATTTTAGCTTCATGTATCAAAACAAAATTTTTATGTAATCAAAATTTTATTTTAAAAATTTTAAAATCTCACTTTAAACTCTTTCACAAAAGACAGCTTTTAATTTTAACGGTTCTAGGTGACCTCAAGACTTCGTTTCCGCGATTATTATTATTTATTTTCAACAAAACCCTCATTTTCAGTTCTTACTTTTTATATATTTGTATAAAGGTTGTAATAAAAAACAACAACAAAAATTATTTATTTATAAAAATCATTTATTTAATTAAAATATATCCGTTTTGCTGTTAAAATGTTGTTATCAATAAAAATATTGTTTTTATGACCAATCTTTTTGAAGAAAATCTGACTTTTAGGATTATCAAAGCTTTTTTAGGATTATCAAAGGAATTAGCACGTGTAATAGTTCAGACACCATCTCATAGTGTATGCCATTCTTATCAAATCAATAATTTTGATATCAAAAAACACTTTTTAAATGTAAATTTTTTAACTAATGCAACCTTTCTAGCATTGATGGTAAGCTATTTCATCTTGTTTTACAACCATTTGTTGTCAACATCCATTTTTTTTTTACATATATAAAGCGTATTTTTAACCTATTTTACAAGACAGAAAATTTTTATAGTTGGTGATCATTTAAAAAATCATTACAATTTTTACAACTTTATTTATTACTGGCAACGAAGTATTTATACTTCGTTGTAATTATTATGTCTTCATTAATTAATTATCAACTGTAAAGCAACTTTCGTTTCTGCCATAACATTACCGTTTATTTAACGGAAATTTCTAACAGTGTAGTTAATAATTTTAAACACAAGTTTTAATTTTCATGTTTTAGTATAATTTTTTGCACTTCTATTGATCCATATAAATTTGAAATAATAAATAGTGATTTTATCGGGAAATAATCTCTGAGGATATTTGGTTTATGATAAATATATAGCTAGAATAATAATCATCCTATAATTAATAAGTTTATGTAGTTTCGTAGATATCACATCGCTCGTTGCGCGAATACGGAGTTCGAATCGCCGTATTCGCGAATAAATCGTTCGAATCGCGGGATGTTTTGATCTTTAATATTTTATGTTTTATTTCAAAGTTGTTTTATGCGTTTTAACTATTTCAAAATGTTTTATTCATTTTAATTAAAATTTAAACAGCATTTCGTTATAAAATTTATAAGATGACTTCATCTTATAAAAATTAAAAGTTATAAAAATTACAAATAAAAATCCTAAACTAGAAATAAAAGAATATGAATATAGAAATAAATTGCGAATTTTCAAAATTATTTCTTTGAGCTTTCATTTCATTTTAAGAGTTTTTATTTTAAAAACTTTTTGTTCCATAAAAATAATCGGCGAAAAGCAGTGTAAAATTTACTAAAACTTGTTCGAAAAAACAGCTCCTAAATAAAATGATCATTACGTTTAATCAATAATTAAACATAATGGTGACCCATCGTTACCATAAGAAAAAAAATTTTCCGAAAAAATTCTTTGTTGCCTTTCGTTACCACTACCATAGTACATTCTTCTAATAGTCACCAAAAAACGGATGATCTATCAAAACAGTACCTTTCTGATTTCCGTATTTGACAGTAGGGTAACTTAATCGATCCTCGCCAACATCCGCACTGAAATTGATGTTGACAGGCTATGCATGACTTGCACAGCTGAACTATACGTCATTAGATAGCTTATTCCTTCAGCAACAAAACTATGTAAAATTATTTAGATTTAATGAGAGTAGTTAATTATAAATTCTTACCATTATAAATTATACAGTGTATCAAAAGCACTGATTTTCCCCCACTTGAACTCAATTTCGCCATGTTGATTTAAAGTCGCCCACTGTGTAAATTAAAAAAGAACTTATACTTGCGTAGGGCGACATTATACACCGGTGAATGAGATTAGATTTCGTTAGTTAATTTCTATGCTCAATTGCACCATTTTAATTAGAAAAGTATAAAACCATTAGGTTTTTGTGAATGCGAACTTTCTCCCTAGATTCTGACTTGAATCTGGACAATGAGATCAATCTTAATTGTAATTGTAAAATGTGTAAATAAAATATAGTTTCAACACATCAATGCTTACGAGCCGTAGTGATATGACAAATAATGTCTTCTTTTTTCCCCAGCCCTGAGTTTAATTTTTATATTGAGCAGCCGTGGCGTAGTGATTAGAGAATGGATTCCCAGTGGGCACGGACGTAAAAAAGACGTCTTTTAAACGTCTTATACACGTTTTGAACGTCTTTTGAACGTCCTTTCAACATTTTGAACGTTCAAAAGACGTCTTTTTTAGATCCAGTGCTCACTGGCACTTTTTTAGGTCCGGTGCCCCCTGGCGATTTTCTAATTTTTTTTTTCTGAGCCAATACCTTTTTTTCTTCTTTTTCTTTGCGTCGCTTAGTAGCATTAACAAATCGCAGTTGTTTCTTTCGCATTTTTCTCTTTCCTGATTGGATTTTGACTTGGTGATATTTCAGTTTTGCTGAGTATGCTTCTTGAGAAGTTAAAACGAAGTATTTAAGTTGACCTTTTCTGTTCCCTATTTTTTTCCGTGCGGTGACCTTAGGATATGCCAAGACATCGTCATCTCTATCACCTGCATTGATAAAAACATATATATTCAATAAAAGAACAAGTATAATTTTAAAAAATTTGAATTATTTTAAAACTAAAAATCTATTAAAAAGTTGCATTGTTGCTATGCAACTATTGATCACTTAATCGAATGAAATGAAAAAAACTGTAAAACGATTAACTT